GGATTTGTTTCCACGTGATTCAAATCAAAACAAAAATTGTTCATTTCAAAACATTTAATCAAAAAATAAAAGTATTTCTAATAGTACCAAGATATATTTTTTAATTCTACTTCAACTGCAGGAAAGAATGGATCCCCCAGGAGAACAGTCAAACAGATGGAAAGCAGGAGAGATTATCAACTCCAAATCTAGAATAAACAGAAAGAATTGCAGGTGGAGTGCAGAGACAGCAGACTAGAGCAACTTGGAAAGAAGTGGGAGGTAATTTTGCAATAACCTATCTGTATGATGGATGACTTCACTGATCCCATTCTTAGAGAAACTTACCAGCTGATTTCCATGCAAATTATTAGTAGCAGTCTTCTTTCAGATAGGCTCACTCAGAGTTACATAGTAAGTGGAGATTTTCTAATTTATCCCGCAGGGAGTCCCTTATATTTAGCAAGCATGTCTTTCAGTCATAGGTTCATAGGCCCTCTGTAGATAGACTATTTCACTTTGCACAACCAAGGAGAGAAAAGGTCAGACATCTCATTGGTAGAGCCTGGGGAGGAAACTCTGTATAAAACACTGGAATCTACGATCCATTGAACTGTAGCAGTGTCCAAAATGCCCTGGCTGACCATTTGCCAAAAGTCAATGATGTGAGGAAACTCCCAGCATATGTTCAGAATGGAGCAACCTATGCCAGAGTAGAGGAGATCTAGCGGTGATGTGTTGAACTTTACTGCTCACGATCCACTCTATATGCATCCGAAGAAGTGGGCTGTAGCCCACGAAAGCTTATGCTCTAATAAATTTGTTAGTCTCTAAGGTGCCACACGTACTCCTGTTCTTTTTGCAGATACAGACTAACACGGCTGCTACTCTGAAATTTGTAGCTGAGTTTCCCTTGCTAAGTCATAGAGACATTTTACCAGTTGTTGCCAATTTTTGACAACTGGGCACTGAATAAGTGTAGTGTCTAGGTCTCTCTGCCAGCCAGGTGTTTGTCTATCTGTTGCCCTACTAATTGCATCCCCTATGTGTAGTTCCCTGATTATTTTACATTTTAGCTGGAGACTGATTCTCACGCGCATTAAGGCTCCTGTCGTATGGCAGTATGCAAGGGGCTCATTCCTACTTTTAAGGCTTTATATTGTTTTTAGTCTGTCCAAGCAGCTTCAGCATCATGCATTCATACACCTATCTTTACTAGGGAAACAAAGAGAGCCGGGGGAATTTAAGACCAGTCAGCCAAACTTCGATACTTGGCGAGATACTGAAAGAAATTATTAAACAATCAATTTGTAAGCACCTGGAGAATAGCAGGATTATAAAGAATAGCCAGCATGGATTTGTGAAGAAAAAAATCATGCCAAATAAGCCTAATTTCCTTCTTTGAAAGGATTATTGGCCTAATGGATGGGGGAAAATGTAGACGAAATAGAGCTTGATTTTAACAAGGCTTTTGACAAACTTCCACGTGACATTTCCATAAGCAAACTAAGGAGATGTAGTCTACAGCAGTGAGACTCAGACCTCAGTGGTTCACGAGCCAAATTAGTGATCGATATTACTT